CTAGCTACGTCCGCTCTACTGATGAACCTGATTGCCCCCGTTGTCACATTTCCCTCTCGATCGATCTGGAACAGCCAGAGATGGAGCAAGATGAGAATCTCGTCAAGAAAAACTCCATCATCAATCGAATCAAGATGGAGAACTGGACCTCCTCTTCCAAAATTGAACTTCTTGTTCATGAGCTACACAAACTTCGCTCTGACAACGCCTCACACAAGTCCATCATCTTCTCTCAGTTTACTACCATGCTGCAGCTCATCGAGTGGCGTCTCCGCCGGGCTGGTATCACTACAGTCATGCTTGATGGTAGCATGACGCCTGCCCAACGACAGGCCTCGATCGAACATTTCATGAACAACGTTGACGTTGAATGCTTCCTGGTTTCTCTCAAGGCTGGTGGTGTGGCACTGAACCTTACCGAAGCCTCTAGAGTATTCATTGTTGATCCGTAAGTGTCTGAAACGAATATTGTCATCCGAGTAACTGCTAACAATTACATAGATGGTGGAATCCAGCCGCTGAGTGGCAGTCCGCTGACCGATGCCACCGCATTGGACAAACTCGACCCTGCACCATTACGCGCCTGTGTATCGAGGATTCTGTGGAAAGCCGAATGGTGTTGATTCAGGAGAAGAAGACTAACATGATCCACTCCACTGTTAACTCGGACACCAAGGCCATGGAATCACTTACCCCCCAGGACATGCAATTCCTCTTCCGTGGAACATAGACGATATGGGACAGAGCAAGGAGTAAAACCCCGATAAAAACCTAATTACTGCTCATTAAAACACGAAACATGGGGATATGATTATGTACAGTATTTGGCATTGGCCATCAAGTATGTAAGGAGTATGCATGGAGTTTGGAGTTGGCATCAGCAACGATGATTCGCCTAAAGATATCAAGTACGGGGTTATTTTAGTCTCAGGTAGTAAGCATGCACAAACTTAGTCAAAGAATAAAAGTCTTTGAGAAGATCTGTGTGATCCTGTGAATTGTAGTAAATGAGGATGCTGTCGTTCGTCATATCTCACAAGAGGGTTAGAGAGTTGTCTGAGGTTGACAGTTCAGGAATTAATTGTAATCTAAGATCCGTCTATCTAGCTCTTTTCTCGTTTTCAAACATTGACTGTCAACTTTTGTGTTGCTATTTTCATCGGCCCATGATGATATTTAAAACATACGAACAGAAGGATTCTCCAAAGAGAATACGAATGAAATGGTTTCGCAAGCCATTGGGGTGCAAGAAGTGATTGAGATCACAGACCGAGAAGGGCCCTGGCACCAGGCTCGCTGCAGACGTAAATAACGTCGTGGGCGTTGGAGAAGCCGTTAAACTGAGTGGCAGAGCACTTGGTGTAGGCACCCATGTCCTCAAAGTACAGCCAGTCACCGACATCGAGGATCGAGTCAAAGCGAGTGCTCTCAGTGATGCGGTCGATGCCATCACAGGTAGGACCCCAGACGGAGTACTCGAAGCCCTCGCCCTCGGGGGTGGGATGGGCAGCAGTGGTCTCGAAGAGAGTCTTGCCGGAGGCGCGGAGAACCTTGGCGATCGGCTGCTGGTGGTCAAACATGATGTTTGAGAAGTTGCCGTAAACGCCATCGTTGACGTAGAGCATGTAGCCTTTGCCATCGAGGGTGGGGTCCTCAACAGTTCGGCGAGCGATGATGTTGCAGGCGATGGTGAAGGCGGTGGCAACGTAGTATCGGCCAGGCTCGGCGATGATCTCGATATTGCTGTGAGGCGGGAAGAACTCGTCGAGAGCGCCACCGAGGACGGCAGCCATGGTCTCAAAGGTATCACCGCTGAAGCCGCCACCAACGTCGAGGGTGCGCATATTGAAGCCGAACTCGTGGGCCAGCTGGAAGACGGTGTGGGCGTCACGAACGGCCTTGTAGAAGGCAAGGGGATCGGAAGCACCAGATCCAACGTGGAAGCTGACGCCAACAACGCTGAGGCCAAGGTCCTTGGCCAGAGCGAGAAGTCCCTCAGTGGTGTCCATGGCGGCACCGAACTTCATGCTGAAGCGGCACAGAGACTCGCTGTCGTCGGTCATGATGCGCAGGAAGAGCTCAGCTCCTGGGTAGAGCTTGGCGATCTTGTAGAGCTCATCGGCATTGTCAAAGGTCATCTGTTTGACGCCCACAGACTTGACGTATCGGACATACGAGTTAGTCTTGCAGGGTTGGGCGTAGATGATGCGGTCAGGGCTAAGTCCTGCGGACAGGACCTGCTCAATCTCGGTTTTGGAGGCACAATCGAAGCCGGTTCCGAGCTCAGACAGAAGCTTGATGATCTGAGGATCGGGGTTGCACTTGACGGCTGGTGCTTGTTAGTGTGTATCACAGCATAATTGTCGAGATTCGTACTCACCATAGAAGGGCCGGACCCGAGGGAGATTCTTCTTCCAGCGAAGATGCTGGCGGTAGACCTCTCCGAGGTCAGCAACGAAGAAAGTATCTTCGTCGCCAGGCTCACACATCTCATGGTCAATGGCCTCCACGCGCTGGTGGAGAGCCTGGCCGATGAGCTGCTTTGGAGTAATCACGCCATATTGCTCAAGAGGTTCCTGAAGCAGGGGTTTCTTTAATGCGATATGAGGGTGATTGACATTATGATTGTAGGTGTCGAGGACAGCCGTTGCCATAACCATATCCCAAACAGTTGCGGGGGTTCGTTGGGAAGTTGAGAGAGGGATTTAAGTCCGTGGACTAGAGTGGAAAGACGATACTTTGTAGAAAAGTATATATAGTAGAGTGAAGCTTGAACGTACGGGGTTCAGCTGGTGTTAGGGCGGTCGAGAGCGGTAGCAGACTGATCCCTCAGTGGACTGGCGAGGCCTCCTCGACTCTTCCTCGGCTAGAGGAAGAACCTCTGTAAACCTCCTATGCGGCAGCTGACGGGTGTCGAAGAACGACGGGGGAGTGTAGTCGGATCGAGGGTCGTGCAAGACGGAGAGATCGAGGAGCTTATCGTCGAGCAGCAATAGCGGCGGGAGGGGGGATCGCGTTGATGATGTGAGAGGGCTTGCAGAGGCTGAAATCTTTGTCACTGACGAAGCTCACGGCCGGAGGAGCCGTGGTGAAGGCGGTGCCTTTAAGAGACCAAAGGCGGGTCGAGTTCGGTGAGGAGCTTGAGCAGTTGTCAAGTGCTCAAAGTTTTGTTTTCGAGTTTGTGTTGATAACGGGTTTCGTATCAACGGGGGCCTAGGCGTTGGAGCAGTTTTAAGAATAGAGAAATTGTCGTTATGAAACGTGACAAGTTATCGAAGAGGAGAGAAAGATGGGGGGTGGCCGCCTTTTTATCTAGTCTTGGCCCAAGATAGAAAAAAGAGGTCGACGAGTTTAGTTTGGGCTCTGCTGATTCGAAGACAAGAAAAGAGTGGAGTGTCGCGTTTCCGTTGCAGGTTATAATTGCATTTGCAGGTCCAGATCCAGGTCCAAGAAAACAATGGAGAGAGAAATTTTTACCCTCCACTGTGACGTTGACGAGAGGGGCAGTAAACTCTGTACGTAGCGTGTACTTGCAGGGGACATTTCACAATTCGGTGGCGCAGTACAAGAGCCGGCGCCTAATTACGATTGTATAAAATACTTATACTCTCTATATATTTATGTCGATAACCAAAGTTGACAATTCATCGCAGTTACAGTCACAATTCCGTGGCCTGACCTGACCTCGTACATATTCTCCAACTGCAACTGGCGGTGGATGAACCATCTCGATGCTGCAGACCTAAACTAAGGTGAAGAAACCCCGCGCTAAACCCAAAGAGCCCCAGCAGCGGTAGAATATCCCATTGGTCTCAGACACTTCCAGAGTCTCGGGAACAAGACACCACGCCTTGGAAAAAATGCAGAAATATGTACCGATACATGCAGCCCGTGCATGTGCATTTCCCAGTATAGAAGCCCGTTCGTTCGTTACATTCCGGGTCTTTTCGAAGCTTTTCTTGACCGACAGAGTCAGAGTCAGAGTCACAGTCAAAGTCCTCGAGGGGCAGGAAACCATAACCTCAATCCTAAATCATAAAAAGAATTGGGTAAATAACATAAGTTTACGATAAATTTAGGATGGGTTTGATTATTTTAACACCATACATTAAGGTTTTATATTTCCTTGCTCCTTGGGGACTGGCTTGTAAGCGTCATGTCCTTGATATTTAGCATACCTAATCAAGATCCAATAATTCCCTCAGTAAATAAACAAAGCACAAGACCACGGACCGCGTAAGGCTGGAGCTTATTCCGCCGTCAGGCACCATTGGCCAACCCCTGGCCATCACTTTTCATCGTCATGTTCTCCATCAAAAGGACGCCGTCAACAATGCCTTTTTAATGCCTCTCTATAGGTTTCTCATCGTATACGATTAGACGAATCGGCATCTTCTTCCGTCCGAGAACCTGCAACAGTCACACTGCGTGTCAACGTTGGTCACTCTGTAACACATCACATGCATGTACTCTGCTCTTTAGTCCAGTAAATCCATCGCTCAAGGACTCCGGCTCTGATAGAACGAGCTACCACCTCTCTTCACCCATCACACCGACTCCCTTCTTCCACAGCCTCCCCAGTCTCCAATCACAGAACTCCTCGTACTTGGTGCTTTCGCTCCGCAGCCTCGAGGTTCCCACAACAGATGCCAAGGTGAAAGTAGCTTCCAGAAATCAAGATAGACAGAAGAGAAAAAGAGGGGCTGTATCTGCTCTTGCGTTGCTCTGTGGTCTCTGTACCATTGCATAGGTACAGAGATGTATCGTATCTGAACGCGTAACGAGGCACAAAATTCCTCGTGTTCACATAGGGTGGAAAGTTCCGCTGCGAGGCAACGTGAGGAGGGTCATTTATGCATTGTTCATCTGTGTAATATACACTGCATCGTACACGCCATCATACAGCTGTAACTTCAGCTGTTCATTGCTCATCCAAAACTCTAGCATGCCGATGCTTCCAACTCTAGGTCGTCATTAGCTTCATAATCATTTTTTTGGCCTTACTCGGCGCCCTTGACATCCATTTCGCGAATCTTCCATTCGCCGTCAATCCAGGGCTGCTTCTCTCCCAGAAAAGCGACTCTGCCCTCGCCCTTGGCCAGTCCGTCAACGAGATAGCGCTGCGCCACCTCGCGCACTTGGTCCTTGGTTACGTCAAGAAGCTGCTCACGCTTCTTCTGCTTCATCTCCTCGGTGATACCTGAGAGGAATCGGCCCATGCCTTCCTGGTTCACAGATTTGGGTGCATCAACTCCTTGGAACACAGAGATCTTGGCCTCCTCAAGGTCGCGGTCTGACCACTTCTTATCAACAGCCCATTGCCCAGCACCGCGCATGATGCTCAGTGTGTTTTGGGGGTTGGGGTCACGGTAAGAGTAGAAGCCAAAGAGGCCATCGAGGGGTCGAGAGTAAGCACCTCCACCATATGCGCCACCCTTCTCACGGATTTCGTGATGCAGGTGCTTATGTGTAAGGAGCTGTGACAAGATCTGGAGAGGTGCGCCCTCCGCTGCCGTGTACGATGTGGTTGGTACTGAAAGCCCACCGTAGTAAACTTGGTAGGGCAGAGGATAGAAGGTCTTGCTATCCTTGGGAAGTTGACGGGGAGACGGGTTCTTCAGGTCGAGAGGATCACGGGAGAGGTTGCCCACAAACTTTTGCAGAGAAGCACCGTTCTCTGCAACACTCTCTGGACCGCAGGTGATTGCTGTCCGCAGGTTTCCTCCCGCAAGTGCAATGCTCTGAATTTGCTTCAGCTTGGAGATAACGTCTTCAAGCTTATCTGTCTCAGGTCGGCTAGCCAGAGATGTCACCAGCTGCACCTGGGAGAGGCCTGAAACTTGCTGTCGAAGCCATGAGGAGCGGGTAAGGCCAGACTCAGCACTGCCCATTGCGAATCGGTGACCAGTGGATGCAATGTCGTTCACAACACCGTCAGCAGACGCCTGAAGCAGCTGTCGAATTCTGAGAGCTGCCTCGGGGCTGTCAAAATCGGTTCCCAGAACGAGCTTCTGGATGATATCGAACATGACAGGAACGTTGCGATCTAGAGCCATACCGGTGAAGATGAGGCCTTCACTCGCAGCGTGGAAATCGGTTGGGGACGGGGTGCAGTGGTAACCAACTGAAACACCACCGGTCTTGAGCTTGATCAAGTCTTCAAGCTGCTCCATGTTCAAGTCCTTAGTACCAAGACGCATGATGCTGTCAGTGAACAGAGGGACCAGCTCGCGAAGCTCATCAGGCAAGTTCTCCAATGTGTTGATAGCACGGAAGTATGTCAAGCCGTTCGTAGGAGCCTCGTGCCACTGGATCTTGGTACCATTGGCATTCTCGTCTCGCACTACCACAGGCTCCTTGCTTCGGGGAATGTCCTTGACGTGCACAGTAGGCAGACAGCCGAGGTCCTCGGTGTTAGTCTTGTTTTGTTCGACCAGCAACTCCTGCTCTTGCTTCTCGAAATGCTTCCGAGCGTTCTCTTCACTGCCGGCCTCCTTGATAGCTGCCTGGATTCTGGTAGAAAGTCGCTCCTGTTCCTCCTTGACAAGATCCTCGCCGTAGGTGTTTGAAGGGGCCATTGTGAATGTCAAAGTGTTATCGTTGAGTAGATACTTGTCAATGAGACCTTCTAGGTAGTTACCCTCAGCCATCTTAGCTTGGAAACCATTGATGGTATCGTTCCAAGCCAATGAGTCAAAGGGGTCTACACCGTTGAACCACTTGGGCTTGAGGCGGTTCAGCATGGAGAATCCAAAGTTAGCAGTCTTATGCTTGAGCGATAACTCGAGCTGATGAAGAGATCCATCGATCTTGGTCTTGTCGAAACCTTTCTCACGGACTTCCCTCAAGATCTGTTGAACCTTCTCCTTGAGCTTAGGAACATCAGCCTCCTGAACACCGGTAAGACCAATGGAGAAAATTCCCTTCTTAGCAGAGCTGTCATATCCAGCGTTGGGGCTCCAATCAGCGCCCATGCCAGCCTCAACAAGACCTCGGTACAGAGGGGAGCCATAACCATCCATCAAGAGAGTTGAGAGCAGTGCCAGGGAGAAAGACTCCAACACGTCTGTGGTGTCACCCATGATCCATGACACAGAGGTCTTGTACTGACGATCAGGATCGACAAGAGGATCAAGTGGGCCGTACAGAGTAACTTCCTTGGGGCCGCTCAGTGTTACGGGCTCGTGAATTTGCTTGTCACCCTGGATCTTCTCGAAAGCCTGGAGCTGAGCATCGACCTGCTGCAAGTGGTCAACCAAGGGCATATCACCATAAGTGAAGACCTTGGCGTTGCTGGGGTGGTAGTGCTCGGCGTGGAACTTTCGCAGTTGCTCATATGTCAGATCTGTGATCTTCTGGGGGTCGCCACCCGAGTTGTTGATATCAGGAAAGATATGGTCGTGGAAGCGAATATAGTATAAATACCCAGCATCCGACATCTGGCCCTTCATCTCGTTGTAAACGACGCCCTTGAACACCAACTTCTTGCTCGCCTCGTCCTCAGCAAGTGGGTTCTCGGGACCAATTCGCCAACCCTCCTGGGTAAAGTCGGACTTCTTGAGCAGTGGGTGCAATGTTGAGTCAAGATACACAGACATGAGGTTCTTGAAGTCCTGCGCGTTGGTTGTCGCAAAGGGGTAGAAAGTATGGTCTGATGCCGTGAACGCGTTCATAAAGTTCGATAGTGTTCGTGGAAGCATCTTGAAGAAAGGATCACGAATGGGATATCTATAGACAGTCAGCATTCTCTGCTTTCATGTCTATACCAAGACGAGTCGTACTTTTCGCTACCGCATAGTGTCGTATGCTCTAGAATGTGAGGAATACCAGTATCATCCGGAGGGTTCGTCTTGAAACCGATCGAGAAGACATTGTTGCTGTCGTCGCGGGCAATGTGCAGATAATCGGCTCCTGTCTTGTCATGCTGAAGGTGAAGAGCCGTCAACTCAAGCTCAGGAACATGCTTGGATCGAACAAGGGTGAAGCCATGAAGCTTCTCGCCGGGCTTAGGAAATTGTGAAAGCTCCGTGACGGCCTTTCGAGCGCCGGCGGCGGCATTACGAAGCATTGTGGCGGAGATTTATGAGGCACAATAAGAGAACTAATAATACAGAAGAACCAAGAGAAAATAGTGTACAGTCGGATATGAGGTATGAAAGAGTTGAAATTATCGTTAAACAGTCACCAGAGATTTTGATGCATGCATGTAATGACGCCGGAACGATTCGCCCCGAAAAAGTGAAAGGGTCTGCTTTGTAACCCCAGCAGTTTTCTCATGGAAAGGCCGGGTTCCAGCCCACGTCAGTGCCAAGGACATGCCGTAATTGTGGGTGGCCAGTGGACACTACTCAGTGAGCGGCCACTGTGGGATACCGCCAAAGATCTCTAAGGCCGCATTAGTGATCATTGAGGCACTAACTGAAGGACCCGAGACGCCCACCAGATTCTGTTAGTGACTTAGCAATTGCCAACATAATCACCACAAAGGTCCATGGCAAAACCTATCCATCTCAAACCTCCATGAACCCTCCATCTTGTCACACGTTAGCGACTGTATTATTCGATGTCCAACGAACTCTGACTTCAACGCTGTATCCTTCCGGAATTCATATAGGTCGTACTGTTGCCATTACTCAGCGTTAGTGTTGATTGCTATCATCATACCGACAAAGCCAATCTGGGTGCGAAGATATTCCCTCCTCAACCACTCTACGTGCCTCTTCGCTGCGAGTGCTGGGCTTGACAATTCATGCGTGAAGCCGACTAACAGCATCTTCTCGCATCTCAGCCGATACCGAATAGTGTTTTGAGCATCATTTTCTCATTATCACAACTTCAACCCCTCATCTGGCGACCAACATCCCACCCACGATTAACGACGATTCATCCCGCTTCGATGCCCCCGGCCTTTCCTGACCTCGTGACCCCCGCCTGAACGATTGCCGTCGCTACCTTGGCCCATCGTAGCTTCGACGGCGATGCCAGCCAGCCAGGTGGATGCTCCTGTAGCCAACGGGCATGACGGACACGCTCATTCACCTACCAAGAAAGGCAAAGGAAAGAAAGGAATGGATAACAACGAGGCATCGCGTCTGCTCCATGCGCGGATATCCCAGCTGGAGCAGGATGCCGCTGGAGACAAGGAGCAAGAGCTGGAGATCGGTGCGTCACGCCCTCGTCGTCTGCAAGCGGCAGCCTCCCATCGATTCGGAACGATACTGATACGTGGATGGTACAGAACGTGAAGTCAAGAGAGCGAACCGGGATCTCCTGCAGCAGGTATCCAAGATGGACAACATGCAGAAAATCGACCACCTCACCAAGCGGTCTAGTGAACTGTTGGCTGATATGCGACGATTGGAGCGTGAAAATCAGAAGAACAAGCGGCGCGGGGACACCCTACAAAAAGAGAGAGATGCAAGCCGTACGGAGCTTAATAAGACTGTCGGTCTCAAGGAGAAGCTGGAAAAGCTATGTCGCGAACTCCAGCGGGACAACAACAAGATGAAGGTTTGTGCAAGATGGCTGGCGGAGAGGCATTCGCTAAGCTTATTTGCAGAATGAGAATAAGGAGCTTCAGACGACACAGAAACGGAACAACGCTCACTGGGACGAAAAGTATGCTACGCTCTTGACCAAACTCGATGGGTATCAGGAAGAAAAAGATACTCCAAAGAAGCAAGTGGTGGATATGGAAGTCGACGAGCTGTCAGTCCCGACCATTCTTTTACGTAGAAGTCCGCTCACCTGTTATTCACAGTTTCCGAATTCGCTTCAAATCGTTCATCGAGCAATACGAGTTACGAGAATTGCATTTCCACTCGTTAATGCGCACCAAGGAACTCGAAGTACAGTACCATATGGCGCGATACGAACGAGAGAAGAAGAACGCAGAGGGGGAATCGACAAAGGCCCGACATCTACAGGCGCAAGTCCAAGCGTTTACCAAAACAGAAACTGAGCTGAGGAATCAGCTTAATGTTTACGTTGATAAGTTTAAGCAGGTGGGTGGACTCGGATAAGATAGTTCGGCATGTTGACTAATGGCACAGCAGGTGGAGGATACCTTGAACAACAGTAACGACTTGTTCCTATCATTCCGCAAAGAGATGGAGGATATGTCGAAGAAGGGCAAGCGGTTAGAGAAGGAGAACGAAGCCCTCAAGCGACAGAAGGAGGCCACAGCTGCCAACATCATCCGCATGGCCGAAGAGCGCCAGGAGTGGAAGAAGAAGACAGAAACCGCCGAGAAGAAGACGGAGAAGCTCATGAGCATCATCCAGCAAATGCAGCAACAAGGGCGTCGGGTGCCACCCGGTATGTCCAACACCGTCGAAAGCGGTTACTCCGATAGTCACGGCGGAAACGAAGGAGACGAAAGCGACTACTCCGACGAGGAGGGCGAGGAGGAAGAACTTAGCGAGTTCGACGACGATACAGAGGAGGAACCACAAGGCAACGAGCAAGGAACGCCAGTGGCCTATGGTCCTGAACGTCCCCCTCAGCCGGTTCCTTCGGCGGCGACAAACGGGCACTAGGAGGCCACTCGGAAGGGGGCTCAAACTGGAGCCAGTGTCAAGAAAAGAAAAAGATTCCCCAGACTTCACCTGCGATGCCCTTTTGGCCTGTGAGCTTGATGGTCCAGGCTATCTTGTGTCAGGCGGGGAACTGGGGTGTTGCAGCTTTTGGGAGCGTGATGGCGATGGCTTCACGTGTACCGAAAGAGTAAGGATCTTGTGTAGTTGGCTACTGGTTGGGCTACTTGCTAGAGATGCTTTTTTGTTGCTCTTTGTTGTTGCTGCTTCGCTACTGCGTGTAAGATGAATTGTCGTAGCTTGTGGATTATTCGAGCATTCATGTCTCGCTCTACTTGAAATTTCTACCTTTTGAAGTGAGACACGTGTGAAGTAGACTATGCAACGAATGCACATATAAATGATTCGCGCCACGACAATTGAATTACACAATTCATGACGTCCAAGAGTATGACACCTGCTGCTGTAATACTGTAGTGTTCTGCTCTTACGTCGTATTCTGTCGTATTAGCACATCGGGATATCGGGGAATACCACCGCCGACGTGCGTTAGGCCAGATCTCTATCATCCATCCCACTTTGATAAGCCACGCAACAGGGGCGCATTAAGCAGCCTGAGGTAGCTTCGCTCTTACAACTACAACCCCAGGTTTTCGGTTCATCAACAGCACCGCAACCATGGATTTCCTTCAGGTACGTTAATATCTCGCATGCCCTGAGCCTGGTCAGATTGTTCAATTACTTCAATGGATGCTAACTCCAACAGCGCCTCGCGCGCTTCCTCGATCGCCCGCTCTTCCCATGGAAGAAGCTCATCATGGGCTTCTCCGTAGGCCAGTACCTCTTCGAATCGTTCCTCACTCTCCGTCAATACCGCGTCCTTCAGAAAACTAGTCCCCCCGCCGTCCTCTCCAAGGAAGTCTCCCAGGAAGTGTTCGACAAGTCTCAAGCCTACGGCCGCGCCAAGGCAAAGTTTGAAATCATCAACGGATTCTACTCTCAGGTTCAGAATATCGCTTTTATGCACTTCGATGTCCTTCCTAAACTGTGGTCCTGGACTGGCGATCTTCTTCTCAAGTGGGCTCCTGCGCGCTTCACTGGAGAGATCAGCCATACTATCGTCTTCGTCTTGACTTTCGCCGTTATTAGCCAGCTTCTTCGTCTTCCGTCTTCGATCTATCAGACATTCGTCCTTGAGGAGAAGTTTGGTTTCAACAAACAGACGCCCAAGCTCTTCGTCACCGATCTCATCAAGACCCAAGCCCTCACGTTCGTTCTCGCGCCTCCTTTCCTCGCCGGTTTCCTCAAGATCATCCAGAAGACTGGTAACCAGTTCTTCTACTACCTGTGGCTCTTCGTCATTGCTCTCCAGGTCTTTATGATCACCATCTACCCCGTTGCTATTCTGCCTCTGTTCAACAAGCTGTCTCCTCTTGAGGATGGTGAGCTCAAGACCAAGGTTGAAGCTCTCGCTGCTAGCCTCAAGTTCCCCCTTCACGAGCTCTATGTCATTGATGGAAGCAAGCGAAGCGCCCACTCCAACGCCTATTTCTTTGGTCTCCCCTGGAAGAAGCACATTGTCATCTACGATACTCTCATTGAGAAGAGCGAGCCTGATGAGGTTGTTGCTGTTCTCGCTCACGAATTGGGTCACTGGAAGCTTGGTCACACGACCAGCCTCTTCGGCATCTCTCAGGTAAGTTTATGAATTTACATTGGAATAATACTGAAGCTAATGCGATTTAGGCTCACACTTTCTACATCTTCCTCCTCTTCTCGGTCTTCATCAACAACCACTCTCTGTACTCCTCATTCGGCTTCCTCAAGCAGCACCCCATCATCATTGGTTTCATCCTCTTCTCTGATGCTCTTGCTCCTATGGATCTCGTCATCAACCTGCTTATGCACATCGTTAGCCGCAAGTTCGAGTTCCAGGCCGATGCCTTCGCTAAGCAGCTTGGTTACCCCGAGGAGCTTGCCCGCTCTCTCCTCAAGCTCCAGATCCAGAACCTTAGCACCATGGACGCCGATTGGATTTACGCGAGCTACCACTTCTCTCACCCCCATCTGTCTGAGCGCCTCAAGGCCCTCGGCTGGAAGGGCTCTGAGGGTGTCACCGAGGGTGTCACTGATAAGTCAATTGACAACGAGAAGGAGGGTGTTGTCAAGGCCAGCGGACGTGATGAGCTGTAGATGCAGCAAAATATCATCTTTTTAGATTGCATCTCAGTAAGAGATCTTTAGTCTCTTTGGGAATGCGTTTTAGACATAGGAAAATGGCTAATTTGAGCTGGTCATCTAGAAAGGACTTGGCCACCCTTAGACACGTATAGAACCAGGCTCGACTGTACATTAGAAGTGTTTTTTTTTTAATCTTATCTATTCATGGCATTGCTACCGATATGCTCTTGATGATCCCAGAGTCTACCTGTGCGCCATCTACATTTTACTCATTTTGTTCATCTAATCATCATATGACTCGTCAGAATCGTATGATCCTTCAGAGCCTTCCAACCCTTCATCTTCTTCAGAT